TGCGAGTTGTCTGTAGAATTGAGGAGCGACACGAAGGTAAACACAAAGGTGCCCAGAGAGATGAGTCGAAGCCTTGTCGGAAGTTGGTTGTGTCTCGGTTTGTTCTGTACAGAGGCTACAGCCCGGCAGGACTGCTACTGTAATACGAAGTGGCTGTGGAGAAAGGAAGTGGGGTTAAGAACGGGCTCGGTCAACACTGAAACACAAAGGCTGACCGCCCGCCGGCTTATCCTCAGGATGGGGTTATTGTTATCATTCCGACCGCGCCGAGATCACACCAACACTTCCCCCTCCTCAGCCCCCTCCTCCTCCTCCTGCTCCTCCTCCTCCTCCTCCTCCTCCTCCTCCTCCCCCTCCTCCTCCTCCTCCTCCTCCTCCTCCTCCTCCTCCTCCTCCTCCTCCTCCTCCTCCTCCTCCTCCTCCCCCTCACTACTCAGTATCACTCAGAGGCACACTGACGATAACGAGGATGACGATGGCGATGGCGATGGCGATGATGATGATTGTGATGATGATGATGCTGATGATGGTGATGCCAATGATGTTGATGCTTAGGATGATGATGCTGATGATAATGATAATGGTCAGAATGACGATGACGATGTTTGATGATGATAGTTGGTAATGGTGACGATAGCGATAACGCTGATGCTGGTGATGATGTTGATGATGATGGTGATGATGAGGGTTATGGTCATGCTGACGATGATTGATGATGACTGGTGATGATGGTGATGGTGATGATGATGGAGGTGATGGTGATGGTGATAATGATGGTGATAATGATGATGATTTGAGAATGAGATCTTTCAGTGTGACTTAACGTGAAGGGCAGATCTCAGTTCCCCTCCCCATAGTGTGTTAGTCGGCTCAACATTTAGCCCAGGCATGGGTTATTTCTACCGAGGTCCGTGGGGCTTGGCCCCCATCCGCAGCATCCAACATGCCACTGCCGTCCGCTCCGTCAGATGATGGGACGGCCGTGCTCACGACGGAGAACTCACGCCGGCGGTGGGCAGTCGCCTGGGACCTTGTCGCGCTGTTCGTCACGCTGAGCGGCCTGAGCCACGCATGGGGCGCCCCGAGCGGCCGCGAGGCAATCCGCGCGGGCGCCGCGTGCGCCGGCTGCGTGGGCACCGTAGGCACGTTGTGGCGCGGCGGCTTTGAAGGGGCCCCAGGACACACAAAGAAATACACACAAATCAAACTATTCCCCCTTTTTCCCTCTATTTTTCTGGGTTTCTGTCTCCCCCCCACTTCCCATATTTTCCCATATTTTCCTGGGAATCGACGATTCATTGTGTCTGTGTGTTTTTTCCCCTCCTGAGGCTTGCTGGGCCGGCGCTGCAGCCGCCGGGGCCGGTCGGCGGAGGCGGCGCGCCTGCGCGCCCAGCTCGAGGCCCTCCGCCCACACCCCGGCGGGGCCGCGCGCACGGACGTGCTCGAGCCCACGATCGTGAGCTGCCCGCCGCGGGCGCCGAGCCCGAGGGCCCAGCGCTGCCGCCGCCCCCGCCCTCCGGCATCGAACCCCGCCAGAGGGCGCGCCGCCCCGAGGCCAGTCACTGGGCCAGCCAGGGTCCGCCCGACGGCGGGCTCTCCGCCTTCCACGCCGTCGGCGCCGGCGCTGAGGTGGGGGGGCCCATCTCGGCGGGGCAGGGCGGCGCTGCGGCTGCTGCTGCTCCCCAGGGCGAGCCGCCCGTGGCCGCCGCCGCCGCGGCGAGCCCGCCCGCGGGCGCTGCCGCTTGCGCGGCCGCCATCCGCGCCGAGCTGAAGGGCGTCGCGGCCACCAGCGGCGCGGACCCGCGGTGGGGCCACAGATTCCGGCAAGGGGCCTTCCAGCGCGAGCAGGCTGGGCTCCGGGACCCTGGCGCCAGGGCGTCGCTGGAGGCCAGGGGCTACGCAGTGTCGCAGTCTGTGGACGCGCCGGACGCGGAGGGCCTCGAGGCGGTGCTCCGCGGCTTCGAGGCGCAGGCGGGACGGTGCACAAGCGGCTGCGCGGGCCAGGGCTTGGCCGCCGCAGCGACGGTCGACAGCTGGGCCCATAGCCCCCCGCCCGACCTCAAGCGGGCGGGAGGGGAGAGCTACAGGAGCCCCTCCGCGCCTCGGGGCCGCTCTCGGTTCGGAACTGGCCGACGCAGCAGCACGTGGGCGCACGTAGCGCGGCGAAGAGTGGCGGGTCCTCTGGGCGACGGCCGCGGCGGTCGACTTCGCTCCCGGTGAGTGCAAGGATGATCTGGCCCTGTATCGGCGGTGGACAAACCTCCCTTTAGTAAACCTCCCCTTAGTGACAACGGCCTGGGACCGACGGACCTGGACCCGCAAAAACGACGGCCGCGACGCCCTCTCGCGAACCGAAATCGGCCCATTCCTGAATCGACGTGTCGGGGTAGGAGGTCTGCCCATCCCCGACTGTAAGCGAAGCTGAATTCAGACGGTCAGGTGGAGCTCGGGCTCTTTTTGATCCGCGGGTCGGGAGCGCACCTCTTCCGGTCGAAGCTAAGCGGGCCGCGCACAGCTGTAACAGAGCTCGGGCTCAGGCACCTCTCGGTTTACCTTCCTGCGAGGCTCGCGCCCACGGCGCCGCGGGCGCGGCCCGCCTCCGCGCCCAGGCGGCGCTAGGCTCGGCGATCAACCTCGCGATCGACATCGACATCGACATCGACATCGGCTCGGAGGCGACGACACACTCAAAGATGGAACGCCAGCGCGAGGAGCGCATCCAGCCCGAGCTGCGGCGCCGCAAGGGCAAGGGCGGCTCGAAGGGCCAGAAGGGAGGCACGTCCAAGGGACAAGATCCCAAGGGCGGGACCGGGTTCTGACCCCTGCCTCCCTCGCCTTGGCAGCCGGAGGCGCCACAGAAGCAAACTTCACAATGGCTGCGTGATGGACGGAAGGTACGTTGGAGACCGATCTCTGGAGAAGGCCAAGGCGGCGCCGCCCATGCGGAGACGGCGTTGCCTTCCCTGGCCTCGACGAGCTTAGTCAAGTTCTGCTGGCTGGTCGCGCTGCTCTTCCAGCACCACTGCAGCCCTGGCCCGAGTGCGTTGTCATCGTCGAGCTGCGCATCGGCATGCCAACGAGATATTGGGAGGCGATGAGCCGCCTCTGCGCTGGAGGACTGCAGCAGCAGGCAGGCCGCCCCCGCCCAGAAGTGCGGTCTCAGACGATCAGGTGGAGCAGCAGGGGGCAGATCCAGCCACGCGCCATTCGGATGGCCCAGGGGCTTGGCGATGCTCGCCGGCTGGGCTCGGTGACAGTCGTGCAGGCGATCAGCGAGCTGCTCAAACTTGGCGAGATCACCTACTCGGGCTCCCGCAAACGTCAGGTCCACGCCAGCTTCATCCGAGCGACGAGGTGACCACCGAGCGGACAGTAGACATGCTGACGGCCCTGCGAGCCCGAGGCCCAGTTCTACGCCGAGGAGAGCAACGCGGTGAAATGGGCTGGCAAGAGTGAGCAGCAGCTGCGCAAGCTAGAGGAGCATTACGGCTTCTTGGGCGGATCGCAGGAGGAGCGGGTTCGCTATCTTTGCAGGCCCGACTTGCCACTCTGCTTGTGGACCTCCATGCGCCGCCCAGACATTAGAGCAATCAACGACGTGAGCGCGGTCCCCAAGACAGATCCCGAGAAACTCAGGAAGCTGATCATGGCCGTTCCCGCAAACTGTGTGTGGTATGACGTCAGGGCGCGGGAAGACCATGGTCTTGGAGGCGGCGGAGCGCGTTCCCTCGTTCGTGTGTTGGAGGGAGCGCTCGACATGGCCAGATGCGATCAGTCTAATGCATTATCTAAGGCTCCCAACTTCGCGCTTCGCGCTCCGCGAAGCGCGAATAACTTCGCGCTCTCGCGCCGCCCCCCCAAAGGGAGAAGAGGAGGACGAGGAGGAGGGGGAGAAGGAACGAGGACCGCGAAGCGCGAAGCGCGAATAACTTCGCGCCCTCGAGGGAGCCCTTGGCTACCAGAGGCTGCCCATGGAAGCTCACACTCGATACACATCCTGATGTCGATCAACGTCAAGGGCCTTGGCGAGACCCATCGGGTCATCGACCAGCTGGCCGAGGAGGCGCCCGTGCGGCCTCGAGCGGCACCTGACCTAGCCGAAGAGGCGATCGTGCATGACCAGGAGTGGGTCGACTTGCAGAGGGACCGACGCAGCGCCGACAAGCATGAGGCGGGCCTCTCGGTCTTTGAGTTCTGCGAGCAGGTGAGGCGGCTGAAGCGTTCCATCCAGCGCGTCATAGCGGTGCTCCACGTACTCGCTGGGGCGCGCCGCCGGGGCGACGTGCAGGAGCACGCGGAAGCGTTCTGCGCTGAGCCCGGCATCCCCGCCTTCTTTGTCGGAGTGGACCTGGCTTTCGACGCGCGCTGGGACTTCGCCGACCCGCACACGGTCTCGAAGATCCTGGCGCTCGCCTACGAGGGCATGATCGACGCGGTGCTGGGGGGGCTGTCCAGTGTGACCTGGAGCCGCATGCGCCACCAACCTGTGACCTGGAGGTCCCCTGCCCGTTCGGCGTCGCGACGAGCTGCTGGGGCTGCCAGCGCTGAGGGCGTCCTTGGCCTGTGCGAAGATGTGCTGTCACAGGGTGGCGCCTTTCTTCTTGAGCACCCCGCTGACCCTGGCGAGTTGCCCTTCCCCTCCATGTTCGTCCTCGAAGGGGTGGAGGGTCTTGCCGAACGAGCGGGTAGGAGTATCGGAGGTGAGGGGGAAAGATCGAAGTGGAACGGAGAGCCCCCCTACCGGAGAAATGGGTTTCGGTTTCGTGTTCGTGCGTGCGTGCGTGCGGGCGAGGCGAAGCTGCGTGGGCGGGCGAGAAGTGTCCCGCCTCTGGCTGAGGCGCGGCCGGACCAAATGTTTCCTGTCTGGGGCCCGGAGGCGCGCGGTGTCCGACCGGTGTCCCGACGGAGTCCCGTCGGTGTCCCGATGATGATGATGATGATGATGATGATGATGATGATGATGATGATGACGACGATGATGATGCTGACGACGCTGCTGG